TCAGTGCAGGTGTAGCTTATTTTTCCTTTCTGGTATGTGGTGGTATTAATGTAAAAAGACGCTTTTTCTTATGGCTTTTGCAGAATTTTCCATGGGTTGAGCATTTTTCTGTTTTTTCTTAAGGTTTTCTTCTTGTTTTGAAGGTTATGCTGCTTATGACCATGAATATGTAAGATCTGTATTCTTGAGTCTGGCTGTCCCTCTACTTTTGGGATGAATCTGGATATTTATTCTTTACTAATGGATGTCATTATTTTACTTCTTCCTCTGGATGCATCCTATTTAGCTGCTCTTTCTATTTGAAAGCATTTTTCAGGGCTTAAGTTCTCTTTTGTTCCATAGCCAACACCGTTTTTAAGTAGGGAGTCTCAATAGCTTGAAAACTATTTGTGCCTTTAGCTCTCTAATGTTAATGTCTAGTCTCTCTTTAGTTTTCAGATTTTGGTGAGAGTAGTCCCAAATATGACCCAATTAATTGAAGAAACAAAATTATAAAAAGGCCCAACTTGTCTGTATGTACTGTTTTGGTTTGTCTTGGGCCACACTGTGTCCACTGGGCCTCTATCACTATTTCCATTCTTTCCCAAGATTATTTCTAGCAATGCTGACTCACCCTTTTCTCATATTTTTTCCTTCAGAAAGGCCACATAAAAAAAATTTTAATTTTTCAGTGTCATGATGAGCTCTAACCACACACTTAGTCACTGTAGTTGTGAAAGCTTTGCTGTTTGCATAGAATTCAGATTTTGTGGTGCTCTGATACTCCCTTACTGTTCTTTTTTTGTATCTGTCTGCTAATGATTCATTATCTCTTCCTCAAACTTTGATTAGACAGATCATTGTTACCATGTTTCATATAGTATATTTTGGCAATGGTAGTAGGCAGAAAGTGTCTTCTAAAGCTGAATTGTGAGAACTCTTCACACAAGTGTTGCAGGTCCATCTGGCATCCAAGTGATGTGCAAACAGATTGGCTTCCTCTTCCAAGCGTTTTGCTGCTTCAGCCTTTGTCCTTCACCACCTTTGCAGCTTACTATAACTAGATCCCTTTAGTAAAGAATGCTTTGTACTCAACTTTCAGATGCTTCAGTGCAGAGAAATGCAGTTGGTACAGCCATTGATCCTTAGTTCTTCATGGTGTACAAGTGGTACACCAATAAGTACTTTCAAAATTAGGCCCAGCTTCATAAGGGGCATTGGCAGAGCCAGACACATGGCACAGAGTGGAAACGCTTCTGGGAGTTAGATTTGAGAAGAAAATGGGAACCAGCATATTGTAGCAAGAGGATTTTACCCTTTGTCTTCTGATTTATTTTTGCTTACAGTGAAGCATGGTAATCCAGACTGTAGGTGCCTGGTACATTGACCATACTGGCCAGCTTCTCATATGGGGAGTGAGGGAGACAAGATAGAGGAAAAGTAATACATTTTTTTAGCCATATGCTACCAAAAGCATATGCCTCCAAGTTTTTTGAGGAGTCAAAGAGGACCTAGAATTTCCATCCAACTGTGGAAAGAATGGCTGTTTCCCATCATGAAAAGGTGGAGGTCTTCAATGTGTTTCCCTTTGCAAAGAAGCATCACTTTGGTCTTGTCTGGATTCAGTTTGATTCATCTGTTCTTCATTTAAGAACTAATTTCCTGTAGTTATTCTGATGTTTTATAGTGATGATAGTTGCATCAGAAAATGAGATAAATAGTAGATTGTCAGCAACATACTGTTAGCAATTGAACACATGCCATATCACTCTCTCTCTCAGCAGTCTCATGTAGATAGATGTAGATTGTATGGATCCCTGTGGGATCCTGAAGGTGAGGACCTTGGAGGAAGAGGCTTGTATCCACCACCTTTTTTTTAATTACATGTAGAAAACAAGATGCAGTACTGTTGTTCGGCTAGGACTGTGTAATAGATGATTAAGGTGTTTACGAATAGAAATCTGGAGATTATAGTTCCATGGTTGGTGGAAGTTTTATAAATTCCTCCAGAAAGCTGTCAGAATTTCCATCTGTTGTTTGTGTATCACTGGGAGCCCTGCTTTCTCCAGTGTCTTGCCTTGCAGTGCGTACTCAAACATTTTCATTTCTTGGTGGAACATATTTTGCATTGCACATTGAGACCACTGGACTCTTTGATTCTTCCTCCGTGTTTTCTTTGCTTGCTTTTTTTCTTTTTTTTTAACTTCTGGTATTTATCTTGGCCATTTACTGATGGTGTTCTGGTGTGTCTCTTGGTTATTCTGAAGGGCAGCTGTGCTAGGACAGGGTTGAGAAGGTATTGAATCATGACTCAGTGATGCTAAAAAGTCCAGGTGTTTCATCTGCAAAGAGAGCACAGATGTGTTCTTTTTCTAAGGAACTTTTCATTTGGCAGCAAGAACTTCAGATATTTTTCTTATTATCCTTTGTTTAATGATGCTACTGGTCTAAGCAACTGGTTGTAAATACCAGCTTGTGGTGTTTATTCTAATATGCGGTGTTCTGGGATGATGACCCCTCACCATAATGATACCAAGGACCTAGAAAAGTAATGTTGAAATGCATGTAAGTTTTCAGTCAGTCTGGTTTGACTGGGTTTTTATTTAGTTACTATGACCTTGAAGCACTGTAGAGTGTGCTCTCTATGTTTTGAATGCTCAGCCCTTATACAGATTGTAGCAGCAGATAAGCAGTGTTAGAGTGACAGTCTGTGGTCTGAATATCAGGGTGGTATTTAGTCCAGTTTTTTAAAACTCTTTCACTGACAGGATACAGCAGCAGACTGCTACAAGGTGGCATACACCAGAGATGGGGAGGTAATGGCAGAAGCACAGAGCTATGGGTTCTCCAGCAAAAAGGGAGGTAAAAGGGGTGGTAGGTTCAAAACTGAAAGACAATCTCGTCATACCCCTATGTCTGTGAACAACTTATCTATTTAGTTTTGATTAATTTTAGTTTCTGGAGGCAATATTTTCTGCATCTGGCACTGAGACCGCAGGACCCTCCTCTTCTTATAATTAAGTAGTCAGGGGGAATGTGTATATCAGGATGAGACTGACGTTTTTTTCAGGACTATTGATAAAATCTCATGCTATTGGAGTGGTCAAATATGAAGATTATTGGACATCCTTTGTTTCTGATGTTTTGTATAACATAAAGAAAATTTGGTAGGAATCAATTATGGAGACAGATGCTTTGCATGTCAAGCCAAAGTGTCTGGATGAAAATTCTGGGAGTAACCACAGAAAAGATTAATGCTTTCAAAATATGTGGATGAGCCATACCTGTCAAATAGGCCAAAGTGAAGCCCCATATTCAGATGCTTTCACTGCAGACAGGATATTTGAAATGCAGGTATTATAGCAGAGACCTATCTCTATTAAAGCCAAAATTTGAAGAAATTACCTCATTAATAAGTAATTTTGCATTACAAAGCATTATTTATACTTGATCAGGCTCTGTCTGCTTTGGACTGGAAACAGTGTAGTCAGTGCAGTTCTAATGTCAGGGATTCACTTTCACGTGTTATGTACACACATAGTCAACATTGCCAAAAAAATCCAAGCCTATTTAACCAACAAGTTTGCTGCTTATCAGATGAAAAAAAATTATTGTAGAACTGGGATGAATTAATTTTTATATTCTGCAGGTTTATCTGAGCCTGCTCGAAAATTCATCCTATTTCACTTATTTCATTGATTTATCAAGTTTGTCCTTCTGCCCCTGAATTTTATCTGAAAACATTTCAGTGTACTAAGCTGTGAGATGCTCAGGTTGTGGTGCAGCTCCTTTTTAAAAAATGTTAGACTCTTATGGCTTACACATCAATATATGTGTGATTACAGAGCAAGATATTGTTGCTAAAGCTGGGTAAATCATTTATTATTAATATAATTAATTAAGTATGAAGTATGGGGTAATATGTGAATGAATGTTACTGCTTTGACTGCATAAGAGAAGCATTATTCTTCCCTTGTTCTCCTACTTCTCTACTGGTAACACAGAGGAAGAGAAAAATCATGAATCCTCCCTCTTTTCCTCCAGGTAGGTAGGTCAGGAAGAAGCTCTTGCTTTGCTCTCTTTTAATAAATCATTGTCAGAATAGGTTCCGTATGACTACATGAAAGCTGGAGAGCTCATTTCTTACTCCCCCGGGTATCAGCAGACATGCAGATGTGTGCAGAGGGGTGCAGTCCAATGCATATGCCCACGTTATGGTTAGTAAGATATTGTGAACAATGCCAGTTTTCCTTACTTTTATGTATTCATTAGAAAGTCTGAAGAATCTAACTGAACTTCACAAGCTCCCCAGAGAAAACCTCTAGTATTTTGTGAGAGATGGACAGAATATTTAAATCACAAGATTTGTATTTATTTAGCCACTTTCTCTGACTGGTAAACTGGTATAAAAAAATTCTGATGGATTTTTTATATAAATAAACACTCACAAGACTCATAGAAGAAACAAAATTTCAAAAATTTACACCAATTGCCCAAAACCTCAGAAACAATGAAAAATATGGCCTTAAAGATCAAGTGTTTTCCATTAAAAAAAATATGTTATTCAATTTAGTTAGTCAGCTGTGTAGGCTGTTACGTGCACCCCACATACACACATGTGAAAACATACACACATATACTTGTGTTAAGTTTGCAGTTGTATGGTTAAAAGAGTTTTGAGGAAAATGTATCCTATTAACTGCTTAGCTATGTGACTAATGTAGAACTGTAATATAAATCTCAGAAATATCCATCCCATTGGCTTTTTATTATTGCCCAAAATAGGTCAGGATGATAACAGCTGGATGCAAAAAGCAATCATATTTTCCGTATAAATATGGTGCTATTGTTTAGTAAGCTATACTCCATAAATGTATTAGGGGGATATACTGGCTTGCCCTGGATTGCTTTATTCTTTTTCTTGAAAAATATCTTTTGTTTCCACCCCCCACTTAGAAGGAAGGAATGTTTCCCATTAAGTTATGAAGTGAGTTTGTTTTTCACTTTTGCCTTTTATATAGGGATACTGAATATAAAGGACTACAGCTCTCCCTGGATCAGGTCACTGCTACCAAGCCGGCATTCTCATATGCAAATTCAACTCCAACCATAACGGATAACAGGAAGGGAAGCAAATCTCGCCTCTCGAGCACAAAGTCAAAATCAAGGACATCACCATATCCACAGGTAGCTGTCTTTGAAATAAGAAATTAAATCTTCTTGTATATCTTGATTTTGCCTTCTATTTTGCAGAAGTAACTAGAATGGGCCAAAGAACATGTTTCTTAAAGGGAATAAAGGACCGCAGGTTATAAGATCTTGAGGCGGGAATATGTTTCTTTAAACTGTTTCTAAAAATCTGGAAACATTTATGTTTCAGCATGCATAATAAATCATCATCAACAACAATAGCAACACAGGGCTCAGAGTTAATGAGGAGCGGACAGAAGGACCAAATGAAAATGTTGGTTTTGAAATACTTGGTTTGAGAGGACTGTGAGTCTTGCCATTTGAGAAAGCTTGCTTTTTCTTACTTACTCTTTATTAATTCCAACATATCTAAAAGCTGCCAGATGTTTGCCAGCAGTTTAATACTGAACTCTTAGTCAAGAGGAGTGAGTTTTGAGAAGGGAAAGCAGCCAGCTAACTTGCTGACTGGAAAAAGAAAGCTTTTCTATTTACAAAGCTTTGAAAGGAAGGAAACACTAGGAGGTGGTCATTGGCATCAGTAGACTTTAATTTCTCAGATTTCATTTTCAAGCCTAATGTGTAAGGAACATGTCCTTGCCTGGAGAATGGACCAAACTCGATTGGGTCTGTGAACTGAAGCTTACCCAATACATTTGTGCAACTGGATTCTGCAGGCAATGCCACAGCACTTGCATATTTACGTTGTCAAACTTTTAGCTCAAATACATCTGTTTGTTAATATAACCATGATGTTTACTAATGATACAAGTCTTACTGCCCTTATGTCTCCACACAGTGGATATAAATGTATGCATTCATAAGGTAACATTGAAGAGCTATGTATTTTTAAAGAGCCCAGGTCAATATTTAACTGATAATGACCTTAATGACTACAGTTTCTCTGTAGGTACAATGTTTTCTAAATTGACCTCTAAGAGTGTATAATGTGAACCCAAATGTCTACATCACTTCCTTGTTTTCTTTCTTTTTCCCCCTCAAAAGTACCAAGGGTAAGGATTTAAATTAAATGACATCTGCTTTTGGAAAAGGGAATATTTAACAGAGCACCTAGATATGAATTCACATTCCTAATTTTAAGAATCTAATTTTGTCTGAGGTTGTTATAGCACATTTGTTCATACACATTTCTGTGGGTTGTTAAAAAAGCCTTTTTCTTGAATGCACTACATCAAACAATTGCAATCAAACTGTTTCAAAGAATTGCGGAAGATACCTACAAATAATTCTAAATTAGATTTTTAGAGTATCTTTGATTTACTGAAATTACACTTCATCTCCCCTTATACAGTCCTTTCCAAAGTACTCATTTGCTATCAGGACAATCCCAGCTCAAGTCTTGTTATCCTTCCACATCAATCTGATTTCTGAAAGTGTGACTTTCATTGGTACCTACTTACTCTTTCTGCCACCAGAAAAAACCCCTGAACTAGCAGTGCAGCGTTGTGACTGCTGGTTTATCAGGGATTGTTGTCTGGAACATCAGGGTGCTCAGTCTCCAGTTTCATTTTGCATCCTCATTACCAGTTGCTTCATAGTAAAGTCACAGATTTCATCATTCAAGAAGCAGCCGTGGTAGTTGCCAGTATCTTGAAAAATGGTCATACCTTTCATTGCAGCCCATCACCACAAGTAATGCTGGCAGCTTGTATTTGTCTCCCTCTCATACTTCTCCACCACTGAACAAACTGTTGAAAGACTAAGAGAAGCACTTGTGAAGAATATGGAGCAGGTGGTACAGCCTGTGTTCTTAAGTCTCCTGCCCATATAATTTGCCAGTCAGCTGAGGAGAATCAGAGTGTGACTTGAAAGCCATGGCTGAAAAGTGAAGTCACGAGTTTTGGCTTACACAGGAGCTTGGGTTGTGGTGGGGAAAGGAAGCAGGAAGTTCATTAGTAAAATAATGGCAGTGAGTGAAGTACTTCCTGAACTAAAGGGCACTCTAGGAGATTTTAAATGTACATAATTTCTTTCTTTTTTTCCTTTCCTTTTTTCTCTTTTCCCCTTACCATTTACTTTTCTTCTCTCTTGAAGAGAAAAAGAAATCATATGCTTTACTGGGTGCTAACTGAGAATCCTCTGCCTTGCCAGCTGTGTGCACCTAGGATAGCTACATGAGATATGAACTGTATCAAAATGATGCTAATCAATCTCAGCTGAATTTTTACTACTAGGGCAAAAAGTGGATGTTTTGGTTATCTAAGATAGTGTTAATTTTTTTTTTCCTCAAATCTTATGCAAAAGCAGGCACAGCATAATATGGGTCTTGTAGACTTAAAATAAAACTGAGTTCATTAAACTGGAAGGATTTGTCAGCATCTGATTAACACTGCCTGATGTTAGTACAGTGAACTAGTGGGTTCTATGAAACCAGCCTCAAGCAGGGGAAGGGCAAGTAAGAGGAAAGCAACCTAAAATTCATGATAAAACCGTAGGATTTGCCCAGACACTTTGAACAGTGCTTTTTTAGTCCTGTCCTATCAGAGGGGTGTGGAGCTGAAAGAGATGGTGGGAGAAAAACCTGGGAGATGAAGATTTGATAGATATTAACAAGAAAAGAAAATTATGAGTTGGTTATAATAGTAATAATAATAATAATAGTGAGTGGCTCCCAAAATCTAGCCCCAGACCTCATTTATTTTGTGCTCCCAAAAGCTAGCCCTGAACCTCATTTATTATGTACACAGAAAATAGCAACAAGGTTGGAAAAACATTTTAATTATGATCATCTGAACTGCTTTAGAGTTTAATGTCCCATTAACTATGATTGTTCAAAGAAAATATTTTAAATTGCCTGTTGTCTGCCTCTAGTGGAAATGTTTTATGGTCAGATCTGGTAAAATGTTTGTTGCTTCATATATCATCTTAGTTCTTGGATAAAGATCATATATATGTAATAAAGAATGCACACATACAAGTAATGATATACCCAAGAGCCACTGGATGGAGGCTTTGGTGTATATACAACATTCATAAATTTTTTGAAATTGGTGCATATTAATACACCTGATTTCAGAGGTGTATTGATTTTATAGCTCCTTTAAATGAATAATCTGGATTAATTTTGCAATTCATCTTCATTTGGGCATATCACCCAATGGGATAAAGATAACTGAACTAGGCTGAATTCTAGCCATTCTGGTTTTTGGTTTTGTTTTTTTTTTAGTTTGGTTTTGTGTTTGTTTGTTTTTTGTTGGTTTTTTTTTTTTTTTTAGTTTCTTCCTGTAGCCTAAAGCTTTGGCAGCTTCTGGTGTATTCAAAAGCAAAGCAAACCACTCTTTTTATAGTAAACATAACTCTTGGTCTGGTGAAGAGTCACCAGCAGTGGGGGTTATTTTAATGGACATGCTGTATTACTTTAATCTAAGCCTTTCACCATCTGTTCTGCCTATAATAGTAAATGCGAAAAGAACATATTTTACATTTCAGGATTACATTAGTAAAAAGTAAGATAAAAGTGATTTAAAAGCATGCATATGTTCTTAGTACAATGCAGCCCGCATCTGTGATTTTTTTTCTCATGGTTAAGACACAAATGAAGAGGAAAGCTGCTAATGCTGATGTAGTGAAAGTTTTTCATGGAAAAGAGGACTCTGTGAGGGTTTCACTATATATTTAATGTTTATAATAATAAAAACCTGAGTAGTCTGCCAGAAAATTATATATCTATAACATCTATTGTTTGAACATCTGGCATGGTATGTGGAGCAGGCTGATGTTGCTGTGTATGACAAGATGAGTCCTCAGGCAAGCGAGACACTTGTAAGAATGGAAAGTCAGGAAAAAGAAAATCACCTGAGAAAAAATAAATTGTCTACTGGCCTAATATACTTCCACGGGCTCTCATAGGGTAAGCTTTTTTTAGACATGGAATTTATATTTTCCTATTTCCTCACCCTTCAGCCCTCCTGAAGTTTTTCTTGGAGTGAAAATAACATCAGTGGTGGCCTATAGCCCCTTTCTATGTCAGTGCTGATTCCACTAGCGTGCTCTCACTGTGATGGCACACTGAATTAACACTCTGGAAGACATTTCTAATTTTCAGAGGTGGCAATTCAGTTTCCAGGAACCAGCTGGAGTACCACTTAATTTATATTTTGTTGTTGTATATGCCAGAAGACAATTCAGAAATCATCTGAAAGGATTTCAGATGTTGCCTGTCTGAAGTTCTTTCTCACTGCTGGTTAAACTTTGTCAAAAACCAGAAAGTAATAAATTACTTTTGTCTTCTGGATCCTGATAGAAGTCAGAAGGCAAAAATTAATAGAAAGGAAAACACTTCTGCTGAGGCATGACTGGACTTGGGAAAAAAAAATCACTGATTTTAATTTGATGTAATTTTCATTAAATCTGATTCCATTTTTTATGGTCTTTCATCACATATGGGAGCCTCATTCTGACTTGAGAGATAATGTTTCCACTCCCATTCCAGTAAAGCAATATCTTTGATCATCCTTTCATTTCTCTCCCCATCAACATGTCACACATGCCCATATTTGAAGTCTCCACCTGTCAACATTCGATTTCCAGAAGAGGCAGTAGTAGGACTGCAGTGGTGGAGCAGCCTCATGACACCAAATAGATGTGTGGCTATCTTTAAAGGGAATTAGACATATTTTTGCCCTGTGCCTTCTGATGTTTTACCTTAAGAGTAAGTATTCATATCAAACTATGTTGGCAGACAAGGCAGGTCACAAACAATTAATTTAATTTTATCCATGGTCTGTAGCAGCTGCTACAGGTCAGATCTCAAATAATTATAATGTACATTGAGTACAAAGAAGATGCATTAAGTAAAGTTGGTCTTGACTACATTGTTGTATGACATCACATGATGCATTCCTGATACACTAAAAACACATGCTTTGAGAGTATTTCCATTTCTCTAAGAAAAGTGCACAAAGGCCTGTGCAATTGAGTCTTTTGTGATTAGGTTCAAGATAAAAGAAAAACTAACTGAACAGGTTTTCAGTTAAATGAAGAGATTCCCTTCAAGAGAAGAGATGCTGGACCCTGAAGTGTCCTTAGAAAAAGAGAACTAATAGAAGAATATCTAGTAGAGCTACAGGAAATTAAGAGCTTTCAGTCTGAAAGATTCTCTGGCATTTATTATCATAATAAATTGTCCAAAATTTTTTCATTACATTACTGGAAATTAGTTTTCCTTGCCCTCCCCATGAAAGAAACATATTCTGTGAGTTTTGATTTAATGAGAAAATAAATGAACTTTTGACTTTTCTATACTTGCATTTAGGCTTGCTTATACTGTATAATATTTCAGCTTAATTTTTAAAATTAAAAAGACTAGTTTATAAAAGTCAAATCCAAAAAAACCACTAAAAATAATTCTAAAATTAAGAAGAGATACAAAAGTATTTTTCCTTTTGTCTATTTTCATTTCGGCTAAAATTTAGTAATTGTTAATAGTCTTGTTAACGATTTCTAATTTTTTTGTTGGAAACTTAGTTTTATCTATACATTTTTGCCTAAAAAGTTTACAGTTATTCACCTATGTAGAATATATCTTTGTGACTAACCAGTTTGCAGACTTTAGATCTGAAAGGATGCTAGAAGAGTTAGATGCTCCAGTTGATCACATAACACTGTGATGACTGAATAAAGTTCCTAGTTAATGTATACCAAGTTACTGGAATTTAAAAGAACACTTTTGTGGCTCTGTAACTATCTTACCTTCATAAAAATTCATATTTTTCCTTTAATCTCTAAAACCTTGTGATGCGTATAGTGGTACTAAATTCCTGACCTCTTCCATATCTACTGGTAGGCTTTTTGCCTATGGGTATTCTTCTGACAACTAATAACAAAATATAATTGACTTCCTCAAAGCCATGACCTTTTCTTTGTTTCCTTTAAATAACCTATCGTGTTAACAAACAGTATTCACAAACATAAACTGCAATACTGAAGAAATACCCAATTAAATGCCAAAACCGCTATTGATGTTGCACAGATGGTTTATGTTTCTGTAAGTCAAACATCTGGTCAGTACTTTCAGTTGGGAAGTGCATAAAACTTTGGTTCTGGTTGGTAATGAGGAGTTTCATAGCAACTTAATCTAATGAAAAGGCAGGTAAGCTTATGTTAGGCCTATTAAAAGAAAACGGAGAGTGGGCAGCTGGAAGGTGAGTGAAGGAATGGGAGAATTCTGAAGTTTCATGTTGTAATACACTGATTTGTGACATGAGTGTGTAGTGCTGAGGATATGAGCATGTACAGCTTTGGTCCTATCCCAGTCCATATCATGGGAGAAATTGATTTAAAGCTGTTCTGTGAAGTTTGACAGTTCCAATAAATAAAAAGATTTAAAAATGAGATAGGTAAATTCTAGGAGGTTTAATAAGCTTTTTTTTCCTTTCCCAAAAATTATCTGAAAGTTTGAAACATTCATTAATAGCATCTAGAAATCTGTGAGATTTAACCTAACTCTTACTTCTCTCTAAACAAATGCCCATGCTCCTATTCTGGACAATTTTCTAACTGCCTGCTAGTTGCTTATTCTGTGTTGGGAGGGCCCTGCTTAAGTGAGGGTGCCAAATGCCCACTGTGCCTGCTTTGCCTAGAAGTCACCTTTTCTAGCAAATAGTTTCTGGGTTTTCCTTGTTACCATATTGCATCAGAGCTTTAATTTTTAGCTTCTTACCTGTCTGCCATAACTTTGGAGCTTTATCCTGGTGAAGTGTTGGTAGCCCAGGATCGACAAAAGGCTTTCTTTCCCCTTCAAGTAGGAGGAAAGTAGTTTAAAGATACAGTTCCAGGTAAGAAAAACAAAACCATCAACAAACAAAATATGAGGAAAAGAGAGTGAACCCTTAGAAAAAAACCCCTTGAAATACACCCGGTTTCAATTCGACATGTGAGAATGCTCCAGGAGCAGTGTTATTTCAGCCCCTTTTGTAAGCGCTTTGCTGAAGTGCATTGGAGCACCATTGCTGAGCAGAAGCACTAGCTTTCAAAGCAACAAGAAAAACCTGGACATATTAAAAAAATATTGAATTGCAGCATTGATATTGCTGAGCCTAATATTACACATCATAAAGAAGATGGCTATTAAGGGTCGACATGGGATGTTTTAGACTTTCATGAGGTCTATCCTGTCATCTGTGAGCTCATTACAGAGTGTTGTACGGGAAAGGACCAGGAGTCCAATCAGAAGGTGCAGACATGTGGGCACGCTCACAAAAAACACCCTATCACATACACACTCTGCCTTTCCAGTGCAGTCACTTGCAGATTTCATGCAGGTGTGGTAATTTCCATGCTGCTTCTCCTGTTTTGCAGTATTCTGGATTTCACACTGAGAGATCTGAGTCTGACCACGAGAGCCAGTGGGGTGGGAGCCCTCTGACCGATACGGCTTCTCCCCAGCTCCTGGAGCCTGCAGACAGACCAAGCTCCCAGCACCACGATGTCTCCTGTGCCTACAGACAGTACTCAGACCGCAGTGCGCTCTGCTACGGCTTTGCACTAGAGCACTCCAGGCTGACTGATGACAGGCACTTCCACACTCAGGCCTGTGAAGGAGGCAGATGTGAAGCTGGACGGTATTTCCTTGGCACACCGCAGCCGGGAAGGGAGAGCTGGTGGGGTTCTCGTTCAGCATTGCCTCTGACTAAGTCGTCCCCTGAGAGCAGAGAAGTGTATGAAAACAGTATGCCCCACATAACATCAGTGCACAGGATTCATGGTAAGAGATAACAAGGATTTGCAGAAGCGACACCACCTCAGATAGAGCAATATGACATATACATTCAGCTTTTTATGTGAAAAATGGAAAATGAGAGAGCCTTTTGATCTATATTCTTGTCTCTGAGGTCACATCTCTGGAGATGAGGGACACTTGAAATTCAAGTTGAGTTTTACAGTCTGGCTTATATGCAGCAAAATACAATTTTGTTGTATATTCATTACAGTGGAAGTGCCTGACTGATGAGATTTTAAGGATGATCATAAAAATATAAGTCAAGTAAAAAACATATTTCTATCAAATGGATTATTTTGTTTAAGATCAAACTACTTTGGATGGAGTATGTTTAGCAAAAAATTAGAGCTAAATCCAAGTGAGATATTAAAAAATTGTTCTCCAAGTGACTTTTTTCTCTAGTGGTTATTCCTAGATTCTGTAAGACTTTATATTTGTTTTTATTTAAAATTGGCAATTCAAATTAATATTTGTTTTTGGTTTCAGACATGTATCCTCAGCTGTAATTTTTAGCCAGTGGAATCTCTCCATCCTTTCAGCACCAAGCCTAAAGTTTTGTTTGACCTGTCTGACAGGTTGCAAACTCAGTACATGAGCACATTTTGAGAGGCTGAATCTAATAAATAAATCACAGTCAAAGCCTGATCTTGGGTTTGGAAAAGTCTGAAGGTGCTTGATTCAAAAGTCACAGACTGAGTCTTGGAAGACAGCAACTGACCCAAAAGTCAGAGTTCAAGGTTTTAAGGATAGATGCAGCATCAAAAAAAAAAAGTTTTTCTAGTAAAATAGTCTATCAAAGCATAGGTTGCCTCTAAATAACTCATAAAAACGAATTACATTAATACTAGTGCATTGACTTGCAGAATGAGGCTTTGTAAATAAAAAAGAACTGTGTCATTTTACCCCAATCTGAGGAAAATTATGTTGAGAATAGAAAAAATTATCAAACAGCTAGTTATAGGAAATGCTGTCAGATGAAAATTAGGAAAGGAAAGGAGCCCTAAATTTTGCTCATGAGGACTATTCTCCACTTTTCTTGTGAGAACACAACTCCTTTTTTGTGTCTGTTCTGTATTTCTGTCTTACTGGTGTTTCTCTAGCTTTTTCTTCTCAAAAAGAGAACATAGTGAAGTATGATAATTTTGCTGGCAAATCTTATGCATGATAATTCTTGCTAAGCATAGCAATATCACACCAAGGTGCAAATGCAAAAAGGTTAGATATTTATTCCATACGTTTAACAAGGATAATCAATGCAAACAGACAATATAATTTGGTTTTAGTTTGTTGCTTGGTTTTGCTGTAATTCCAGGTGCTGCATTTATTTTCTTTTTTGTATCGTCTTAGATTTTTCAGTAGGCTTTCAGTCTGCATGTAGCTTTGGGAGAAAAACCTGGCATGGGTCTTAGTTGAGGAGAGTAACATCTCAGCTTCCCTTGCAAATGTGCCATTTTCATTAGGTTTCAAATCTTGGCCTTTCACAAATTAAACTCTTGGACAATAATATGTGAACATTGATGTCAGAGAAGTTACTTTGGTCAGAAAATATTTTCTTCTTTTTCAGTTCTTTTAATGTGTATTCTGTTAGTTCTGGCTTGGGGTCACCTTACAATGACGGTTATCTGACCAGTAGATAATGCATATGAGCCCATGTGTTTCTGGTCATACTCAGGAAGTCTAGGACAGTGCAGATATGGTTTGTGCAGTGAGATATACTCAGCATGTGGTTCAGAGCTGCATCTGACCAAATTCCCAGTGCATCAAGGAGTGCTGGATGTACCATGCAGTCCAGTGGCTGGAGCTCCCTTCTACTTCCAAGCTCTGGCATTTTAAGCCCAGATCTTAAGAGGATGTGAAGGATAAATTCATGCCATGATACTCCATAGTGCAGTACTTCCCTCAGAAAATGGCAGGATATGTTTATTATAAAAGCCCATCACTGATTTTTGTTTTGAACTCTGTAACACAGTGGTAGTGGTCTGCCACCCTAACAGATCTGTATGACCTGACCCAACACAGAACAGGGGGAACTCCTTGTGCTAATCTGAAAATGGGTTTCCTTTGAGGAGTACTGTCAACCAACTCAAAGGGGCTCATCCTCGCAGAGGACTTTGTATGTGCCAAGGCAAAGACATAATTAAGTAATGTGTGCAGGTCCTACAGGCCTCCCTGCAGGTGTGTATTTCAGCAGATCGTAATGCAGCCTTAGCTGGCTACTCAGGTTTTGGGGTCACTCACTTCCTAGTGAGGACTGACAGGTCTGATTCTGTCCTTTCAGCTACTTGCAAGCTGAACACCTTCTCTAATATGTCTATGGGCCTTATTTTTTAAAGAGAAGTAAAAATGTACTTATATTTTCCCATTCCAAAAGGAAATATTTATGCATTGGGATACGACACCACATTTTTATAGTAACTCTCTCTAACAGCTATGGGTTCTTGTGCTCCTGAAGAAGAATTGCTTCATTACTTGTAGTTATTTATTGTTGTGTAACCTGCATAAAGTCACTACATGACCACAAGCTATTTATCAACATTGTCTATGTTTCAGCTCCTGGAGAGACCTAGGAACACATGCTAAAATACTGCACATTTTTAAGTCCCTGAGATTTTTGGTTTTACTATGGCCTCTATTCATTAGACCTTGTTGATGCAAAGAGGGAGGAGTCAGGGGTCTGAACACTGGCAGTGAAGGCACTCTGACATGCCCTAAGATACCCTGCATGACTTCTAGCTGCTTCAGAAGACAGAGTTCCCGTAGAGTTGGTGCCATACCTGTTGGGCAGGTGCTTGGTTACCCTAGAGTGTATCAGGTGGCACTGGCTGTCTGTGTTGAGGCACTTAGATGTCTTTGTATATTTCCAACTGTGTTGCTTGTTCCATGCGGAGACACTGGAAACCAGAATTTGCCACTGAAAAGCAAGAGGTCATTTTTGGTCATTGTTATGAGTCACTTGTCTCCATCTTGGTTTTCTGTCTGTAAAATAAGGTACAGTTACATGTTCTGCAAGATCACTTGTCTCCTTAGACCTCAATGCTTTTCTCCTTTCTCTCTTTCCTAGGAAGAGGACACTGGGATGAGGACAGTGTTGTTAGCTCACCTGATCCTGGCTCTGCCAGTGAATCAGGTGACCGATACCGGACTGAGCAATATCAGAGCAGTCCACATGAGCCCAGCAAAATCGAAACACTAATAAGAGCCACACAGCAAATGATTAAAGAAGAAGAAAACAGACTACAGCTGCGGAAAACCACTCCCGACCCGCTGGTCTCCATTAATGGCACAGGGAAGAAGCATGCTATCTGTTTTGCAAACTACCCTCAGCAGCAGTTGGCAGGGGATGTCTGCCGTGTCCCGACGGTTGCCAACACTCCTCCCTGTGAACACATCCAGCAGCGAGATGGAAAGATTATGAGCCCACATGAAAATGACTATGACAACAGCCCCACAACACTATCTAGAATAAGCAGCCCCAGTTCTGACCGAATATCAAAACCTAGTTTGGTACTTGCTAAAGACTACCTGCATTCAGACATGTCCCCTCATCAAACCCAAGGAGACCACCCAGCAGCCTCTCCAAATTACTACAGCTCCCACAGGCAGTACTTCGATAAGCATGCTTACACACTAACTGGATATGCCCTGGAGCATCTATATGACACTGAAACAATTAGAAACTATTCACTAGGCTGTAATGGATCACACTTTGATGTGACTTCTCACTTAAGGATGCAGCAAGATCCAGCACAAGGACACAAGGGAACATCTGTTATAATAACGAATGGAAGCTGACAGGTTTTTTTCTGAAAACTGTTGGGCTTTAAAAAATAACCTTTGAGATCTAATTGGAAGATACATATTTTCATGCCCTTGTCCTTACCAGCATTTCATATACCACAGTGCACTAGAAAAAAGTACCTAAGGTTTGGGGGATAAGTTAGTTAACACACATTGCTTTAAAAAACATGCACTGACATGCAGGGTTAGAGTGAATGGAACTAAACTCAAAGTTGGTGCCATGCAGGCTGAAAAGGATAGAAGAGGTCTAGGCTGGGAGTGTTTGGGGCAGGCTAACAGAGCAGTTTATGCACATTTTGTAAGAGGTGGTTGATTGGAAATGCTGCCAAGGGTGGACCTTCTGAACTGCATGGGTCCCAGACAACAAAACTGCTATGCACTCTTTTAACACAGAAAATTGGAATGTATTCCATTGAAATACACACCAAAATGTGTACTTTTGGTGATCTGTTTATTCCCCAATGGCCAAGCATGTTATGCTGCTCCATGATATAAAGCATCCATGGCTGACGAAGGGAAGAAAGAAGAGAGAGCTCGAATTGTTAGGTCCTTGTGTACTCACATGCATAACTATTTACATATGGTTGATTTGAAAAGAGTCAAATGAGCAGTATCCTTCTGACTAGTTTGGTCAAATATTTACTTCTACTGTATTAAAAAGAGAGGGGCATTCTCAATGTAGTTTTGAGAAACACGAAGGTGTTGGTCGTCTTGCTGTAGAGAGGGGAGGTTGTTCTCATATTTTTGAAAGGTTGCCCTAGATGAGTAGTGGAGTGAAATGGAAGAAAATTGCCTGGAGAAACAGGGAGAATAGACTGGCTTTAGGAATGGTCCAAGATAAACACAGTTAACTCTATAGCTGTGTATGCCACTTAGTAATAATTATAAAATAAGCAAAAGTTATTGTAAATGGCTGAATAATTAAGAACTAATTTGAAACACAGAGGGAACTCAATAAAATCATAGAAATTTTGCTGTAAAATACAAATGCAATTGTGCCAGTGTAAAAATATGAGAGGAGAGAATAGGTAAAACCCGTTTGGTGGTTTGTCTAACTTCTGATAAAGTTTTGGAGTAGGTAGAAAATTGTAACTACTCTGACATAAAGTAATAGGTGTGATTTCAAAAAAGAAATATGAATTCTTTTCTTGCTTGCAGCAGAAATTTTAATGGGTATCTGAAAATATTAGAGATATCAAAATCAGTCATATGTACATAAAAAAGTACAGAAGGAAATCAGTGTTCCAAACAATTAAATTGTATTAAAAATGTTAGTATTATCAGGGCCTGTCCTAGAGTTGTAGAAGACATCAAAAGAGGCAGAGAAACTTTTTTAATTTTTAATAACTTCATGAACAAAAAGACATTGATTGGAAAAGAATAAATACAAAACATATGCTCAAAATGTAAAATAGGGCATTTTTAGGCACAGTTGCTAGACCTGTTCTTCTTTGTATTGCATTTATATGGTCCCAAAGTTGACTGCAATGGGAGCAGGACCACTGGTCCCTCTTATGCCAATGTGGAGATAAGGGGACTTGAGGTGGTTACTGAGATTAGCACTAGGACTATTTTCATTTGTAACATTAAGAAGCTCAACATATGGGACTGAGTCATCAATAGGACTAAATATAAACCAGCATGCTATGGGTGGGTTAAAAATATCTTTTTCCAAATAAAACTAATCAGAAGCAAAAGCTAAATAATAACATTATAAACCACGTAAGTAGAGATGTACTTGAAAGCAGAGGAAATTACCTCTCTGAACTTGGAATATTGTGTATAGTCCTGATCACTCCAAGGCAGATTGTGAATCTTGAATTGAGTAGTACCTTACTCCATAAGCAACCTTTGTTGACTGCAGTGTGATTGCTCCTGGTGAAAGGCACATTGAACACAAGGAAGAGCAACACAGTCTGGTCTTTATTATCTAAACCTCATAATAGAAGAGGTGGAGCAGAGCTCAACAAAAGATAAAGAGACTGAAAGATCTAATAAAACCTTTAAATAAACTGGGTCTGTCATCTTTGTAAGGGAAAAGAGGAAGGGGTAATGTCGCTGATGTGCACCAAGCTCTGCACAGAGGAGAGGTAAATAATGGTCTGAAACTATCTAAACTACCAGCAGAAATGAGAGACAGGGCATTGAATGATAGCCAAGGCAAAATGAGAACAAAATTATTTGACTCATTGCTAAATGAATAACAAAGGTCATAAAAAGCAGCAGCTAGAGATTTTTGTTTGTTTATTTGTTTAAGATAAAAACAAGGCAAATAATTGAAAAACATTGACAACTGTTAACTCAGAGGAAGTAATGGACCAAAATGGACTTCTTTCAGCCCAACAACTGTATATATTCCTAAAGCATAGGAATAAGAAAGTATTTTTGATAAATCTAATTCTGGATATATATTATTCCTATGAATAATATGAATAAACTTGTATTTGGAGTCTCATTTAACAGTATTAAAATACAATTTGCAAAGTGAATTAGAGTAGAGGTACATGGTATCATATTATCCCTACTAGTACATATAAAAATAAGTCTAAGTGTCAATATTATTTTGTATTACAGAAGAGTTTCCTAAACTGTTTGAATGAATGGGATTTTCTCAGCACCCAAGTTTCTTGGGATCTCCAAGCACTCTTGTTATCAAGCTTTTAATTAGAAGGCAATAGAGTTCTGCAGACCAGCTGCAGTTCCCTGGCTAATGTCAGGAAACCTCAGTTTGGTCACTGCTGTATTTGCATTCTGACAGGCACCTTTGAAAAATAGAAGACTTATAAACAAACAGGCACAGTGTAAGATGCTTGTATTCTGTATGATTTCGCCTAGGAAAAAAACCCCAGTGTGCTATGCAATAAAAATTCCCCAATCTTATTCACAGTGATCTCAAAATAAGACTTCCCAAACTGTAGTTATCTTATTTTCAATAATTCCATTCCACTACAAATGCAACAAAATGCACTGTAATGAATGGAATAAATCAGTCAAGATGTCTCCACATGCAGCCTCCTTGTGCTACAAGCGAAGGCTGATGCTTGTACCCCTCATGGGATTCCAGCGACTGGCGCTCCTTAGCACTTCAATACAGTATGCCAGAGATGGATGCCTTTTGTCAACTTATTTGCCATCCTGCTTCTTTAGATAGCCAGGAATTTCTTCTTAATTGACAGAAAGCATGGCATGTTGTAAACACAGACTCCGCATGCTACATGAAAGCAAGTCTGCAATCTTAATTATAGCATATAATATCACTGCAGCTCATATTACGTATAATTTTCAATATGATATAAAGCTTATTTTTTCCATTACATATTTATTTAATACAAATTTTCATTTAGTATCCTTCAAGGATATCTTCCTCTCTTCTTATGTTTCTTTCTTTTCTAAATCAGATGAAAAGAGACATTTTACAAAATTGAAAAATGCAAGGCATTTGAACCAAATGAGTTTCAAATATACCACATCAGCTAAAGCTTATCACTTTAAATAAGGTATGTATGTTGTGTTTTGGAACAGAAACAATATAAATTGCTGTATTGCGTAATTTCTCTAACATAATACTGGTTTGCTATTAACACCAAATTACTATTTTGTAACTACTGCAAATACAGAGTGACCACCGGTCTTTGAAACCATTTCTTATTGGTATCAGTGGATGGTGCATTATGTTTTTTGTGCATTACAGTTTTAGTATATCTCTTTTGTTTAAAGAATTAAAAACCTCTTTAGTCTTTGATACAGAATCTCACCCCAGGGGCATAAAGTTTGTGATTTTGGACAAATTTGCAAATCAACTCTTAAATTAGAAGAAGAACCTTACTCAGCAATTTGTCCCATTGACTCAAATGGGAATATTTGTGGAGTAAGGTACTACTTAATATGTGTGAGGAAAAAAAATCTGACATGTGATAATAGGTTTGGGGGTTGTTTTATAATTTTTTTTCCTTAAATCCCAAGATGTGAGTATGGAAACTGGAGGATAATAGCTGTAATGGCTGCGTTTCTATAGCAGAAGTATTTAAGCATGTTTTGAAAAATGAATATGTCTCTGCACTGAAGAGCCCCAAAAATGTTTCTTAAGCTTTAAGCTTTTAATTGGCTTTTGTCGATGTGTCCACAATACTGCCACGGGTTGCACAGTGAAATTCTGCTTTTTTTAAACTCTTTTAATCACTGTTATCTGAATCTCATTTTTGCCTCTGCACATGCAGCATTTATTCATTAATGTCCTTAAGTATGTTAACCACCATATGTTCATTTGTGTGAGCATGCTGAGTGAGTTGGAAAAAATAAAAGGTCGCATAGTATTTCTGGAAAAGGCACAGCCACCCCAAAAAATCAGACTGGCTGTTCCAAAGGTCAGATAACCTTTCAGTCACGGAACAAAGCTGTGGCGTACGCATTGGTTTCAGACCTTCTGCATACAAAGCTGTGTATAATGGGGATTATACCACACAGTTCCAGGATTAGACTTAGCTATGTCTGTTTTAAGGTGGCTATAGTGAATGTCTTGCAGCAAAAGGATTCAGGCTCTGGTCTTTCCAAGCTGTTTGCTTAAAACACCTAAGAGTCTAAAGGCAATACAGGCTTTGTTATTAGGAACAATGGTGGATCAACATGCTTTCCTGTAGGTATACTGACTTAACTCCAGACATCTCTGCAGTGTGGAGAAGAGCCTGTTTTATTTTATTTGCAGTTAGTATTGATGGTTAAATATTTTGGCTGTGTAAAAAAAACCAAACAACAAAAAACAACCCCAAACCCAACAACAGAAAAATCAAATCAAAAAACCTCACAGATTTCTGTAACCCTTCAGTTTGGTGTTATTAAAGCTTGCTAGAGGTGTAGCTGAGGATTTAGGGGTTATTTTGAAGATCAAAAAAGTAAATAGTCTTCTGTTCAGAACAGTGAGAGCACTAATGTGATTCTCTTTCACATTTTCTTGGAGCATTTATTAATGAAAAAAATGGAATGAGGTTAAACATCACTGTGGCATTTAGCTTATGTATATAAGAGTTCTGTAGATAAATCTGGCTCTAAGTTGGTAGGAATACATCCCTTTTTGAAAAGAGTTAATTTATGACTCCATCTATGAAGCTGTATTTGAAAGGACAGATCAAATACAGGAAGAAAAAAAGCTTTTTGTCTGGTTGTATTCACTATTTACCTCCCATCTCACACAAAGTTCTCAAGCTTTCCTATTGTTCTAGGATTCCAAATACCATTTTAAACATTTTTATTTATTGCAATTTGGACTGCATTTTTTTTTTCTTTTCAGCTACTGATACAGTGGGAAGTTTTGAAATGCAAGAAATAATCTTTTTCACACAATATAAAACATTAGCACCTTTACATTGTAAGGAAATAAAGTCTATTAGGAAAAGTACTTTTAGGGCACTGCAACTTTTTCCCAAGGTAAATATTTCAGTGCATGAAATATACTAATCTGACAAAAAAAGCACTTGAGACATGATGAAGCATTTCGTGTTTGCTTTAAACCAATGGTTACGTTTATGGAAAAAAAGACAGAGATTGCCAGTGTTTCAAATACCATGCCTTGCAATGTAAAGGGTCTGGTGACATTGTAGCATAACATCTGTAGTTTTCCTTTGGAATGTAATGTAGAAAACACAATTTAGCTTTGTCAACATTATCTTGCAAAGTGTTCCCATTTATAATTATTTATATTGTAAATAGCTTTCTGAAGTAAATTTGAACTTAATGTGCATAAGATGTATTTATTATGTGAAGATTTTTTTTTTTTTGGTTTAAAATATAGCTACCAACATGTAATTTTTGTCTGTTTTTCTACATTTTTAAATTAAGGATTGTCCTATCTAGGATACATTTTCAGGAATACATTTTAATTAATGACAGTATTTCTCAGAATTGGGAGGGGACATGGTAAAGTAATTTATTTTGATTTCTGGGGATCCTAAGTGCTCCCTGAATCTTGAGTGAAGTTTATCAAAATATGAAGGGACACGGATAATATGCTTCCAACCCGTTCAAGATGTCTGAATCTGCTCAAATACTATTCTATCAGGAAGAACTGACTCATAGAGGCTTAATTAACATTAATTTTCTACTTTGTGAATAGTTCGTTTTGTTTCTTGAAGCCATCTCTCATCCCTGTGCCTCAGCCAAATCAGCTTGCTGACTTGGAGCATGGTGCCCATTAGGTGCTTAAAATACTATACTCTAAGAGCAGAGTTCTGACAAAGGAACAGGTGAGAAGTTATGTTAAACTACACTCAGATCTGAGAGCTGATTATTACTTGGGATTGTGTGCCTGTATAGTTCAATCGACCTGTAATGAGTCATTATGCAGCAGCTTAGTCGCTGCAACCCTTGCCTGGTCTGGGGTTTAGGTCCTTCTGAGCTCGAGTTCTGAGTCACAGCTCTTACTTTCTAGACCAGTTTCTGAGCCATCGAACCCCATCCTCTCAGATACTGTCATTGAGTCTCTTTCCTGCAGGTGAACAACTGCAAGACAGATGGTCCCAGAGAGTAGTGGGACCCTTACATGTGGTTCAATGAGAGCAGCTTTCTCTGGAAAGTGGTCATTCACATATTTCCCATTCACAAGACAGAGCAAATACTTCAGCAGCAGGGATGGATGTAAGATGCATGGAAGAGCCATTTTTGAGTCTCAAGTCAATTAATTGCTAAAATGGAGATGCAATAGTGTCACTGACCCTTTGCTCCTGGATGGATGTAGGCACTGGGTTCTCAGAGATTCTCCTGGGATTAGGGAATACTATGCAACACTGAGTTAAACTGCATTCATGATGTTAGCATTTCCAATGGGGTGATTTAGGCAGTTCCCCTCTCCTTGGCCTGAATTTTGGCCCTGGTTCTCATGCAGGCAGGAAATGGTGTCATCTTTTCCCCAAATTATGCTCTTTAGCTGTGCAAAACATGTGTTGACTTTCTTTCTCTCTTTCTCTCTTTCTTTCTTTCTCTCTTTCTTTCTTTCTCTCTTTCTCTCTTTCTTTCTTTCTCTCTTTCTCTCTTTCTTTCTTTCTTTCTTTCTTTCTTTCTTTCTTTCTTTCTTTCTTTCTTTCTTTCTTTCTTTCTTTCTTTCTTTCTTTCNTTTCTTCCTTTTTTCCTTTTCCTCCTTTTCTTTCTTTTCTTTCTTTCCTCTTTTCTCTTTCTTCATCAGTGAGGGGTTTCAGAAGTGCCCTTTTTTGACCTATTCTCTGTCTTTGAAGACCATACTGAAAAAGAGACACTGAGGTCAAATAGGCAGTCATGAGACCATGTTGTCATCCATAGGATAACAGTAATCCTAGTTTCTCCAAGTTAAACTCTGCAACAAAACTGAGTATCATCCTTGGCTCTGTGTACTTCAAGTCCTGCCACTTCCATGCTCTTCAATCTCTCTCCTAGTGCCTGAAGTGTAGATATTGATCACTGGTATCTATTCACTCTTGGTTTCTATGCTCACTGGCAAGTTGATCTGCACTGAGGAAATCTGCTGTCATGGCCATTGTAATAAAAGTGTGCAATACCATCAGGAACTTCCTGTATCCCCATATGGTGGCCATCAGAGCTTCAGCATCAGCAATTTCATTTGATACAGCTCCTCTGACTGTCAGAAGGTCACAAATAGCCTGCTGCATGCCTGTGTGAATAAAAGGGCTATCCACCACACCACAAAGCCTGATGGACTACACGTTTTTTTCATGGATGTTAACAGGAGTCTCACTACACATGCATGCAACACTCTAGACTATGGTCCAGAAGCCAGGTGCAAGGCTGTGTATACATGGAAGCAGCTGGGCCTCACCATCATAAAGTCTGCTCATCCTTGCAGATGTCTCTGCCCACAGTCTGCCATTGCCTTTCTCCAGCAGTCTGTCCTCTCATTTCTGTCTCTCACAGGAATTACTCCTTCTATTTCCCTTTCCTCTCTTCTGCCTCAAGTCCTGGCCTGTGATTTCACAAATCCTGTTATCTAGCTTGCTCAGCAAGTGTCTTCTGTTGATCTTGAAAATTGTATTTTCATTGAGGAAAATGGCTATCTGGCAACAGTTTCCATCACTTGCTTTCCCGTTTCCCTTTCCCTTCTTTATACAGCTGGTATAAATGCCATACTGAGGATCCTGCAATGTTTTTCTCACAGGCATTAGTTCTGCTGCAAGAAAGCTATTGGTTAAGGGAATGGAGGTGATGAACTTTTCAGAAAAGCTACAGACAAAAGATAGATGCCTTCAGCATACCAAATGCACACGCTACTTTAGCTGCATTACAAAACTTCGTCACTTTTGGCCTGCAAACAGAACATGAAGATGAAAACTGAAACCAGAGGACATATGCTTTATTTGAAAATAATAACTAAAGCAACTATCAGATGCACCTGAGAGGGAAACTTAAAAATGTCTATGTCTAAATATGCATTAAATTATATGTGAATAAATGTTTGTTATTGCTGTTCATCTCACTATTTTTTCATTTTTTCATTGTTATCATGATCTGGCATCAGCATTGTCCTTTTTATCATGTTATCTGTATTTGTCCTTTGAGATATATACTCTTTTTTCATCTATAAATAAAAGTATTCTATAATAAAAATATTAATATAAAACACAGAGCAGAAACTGACACCTGGAAAATGAAACCCAGAAAGTATCAGCATATTCCAAGCTTTTAACTGACTATAAGCTCCACAGTTTTTACCCAGTGTATCAGGTGCTAAATATCATATGGGAGCCAATTTTCACATCCAGCCATATTCCTAGGATTGTTAGTGTGACATATTTCTAAGTTATACCAAAGCTGTGTTGCAAACAGATAAACTTGTACATTATCAAATGTGGCACATTTGCTTTTTTCTCTTTTTCTGATAAGAAGAAATGTGAGAATATGGTGATGAGAGCTTAAGGTACTTTTTTAAGCTGGGTGCTTTCAATTTCCCCTCAAGATGTAACTCCAGAGACCATTTGATTCACTTCCAAAGGGCAAGCTGGAATCTTTCTATGCCTGCTTCTACCTCTCTTGAAGCTTGAGGCAGTTCTGAACTGGCCAGGTACTTGGGATCTACTAGAGCAGCCTTGAGACTACACTGATTTGTACCACCTACCACGATTGTCTACTTGTTTGTCACATATGAAAAACAACGGCCCTCTGGCTTGTAGAGAGTTATCAAGTGCAAGAGAACTGAAATAGCAGCGAGCATCTCACCACCATTTAAACACTTTTTTACATTAGTATTGTCTATTTTGTGAGGTAAAGCAGGTTAGGCTGCCACCTGTCTCCTGTGCTATTAACTTCACAAAACGTAAGAAAAGCAAGGAAGAAGGTACAAGAAGATGTGAAACTATACTTTTTCTCTCATACTGCCCAGCAAAACTCAGTGAAGATGCAAAAGATTCTTCTCATCGTAAAAGAATAAATGCTTGCCCAGTGGAGTCTTGCCTGTATGTAACCAGGTAAGGCAACTTTGTTGAGAACGCTTTTGCTCTGCCAGTGGGATGGCTGGTGAAACCACATTAGTATGTACATGGTATATATGACAAAAGTTCACATATAAACGTCAATGTTTTCTAAACTGGTAATGTGTCCTGTAAAGGACACTAAGATTGCTGTCTGCTGAGCCTTTTGTTCCTTTCCTTTTACTGTTCCATCCATTTGGAGGCCAGAATGGGAAGAGTAAAGACTGCAAAGCAGCTTATGCAGCTCTGACAGGAGTTAGACGCATTTTTCATCTGAAGATTCTTAGTTTTGAATCTGACACAAGAGATTTCATCAGCTTATGAATTATTTTAACAAAAGCAGGACTGTGTTTTTTGTGCCTAGTTTCTCTGTGGGACAGTTGTGTCATTTTTTAAAAAAGAATACCAGGGAAAGGCACCTTTGTGTTTTCAATTTGGAGCGCATCAGCGAGGTGAAAAATACAGCATAAGTGTTAGGTCTATTAAAGTCAAAGGCACAACTGTGCATTTTGATGTTATGTTTCTGACTTTTCTTTAATCACAAAGGAACAGTCTTTCTTCTGTGCTGCTTTCTATTTAACCTCCAAAACAACTGCAAAGTATTAGAATGACTCCTGTATCCTCTCCAGCATGTTTCTTGTGCTCGATAGAAATGCCCATGGTTTCAATAGGCTGGTTATCTGACAGATTGCAAAGAAAACAGCTGATTCTTATTTTTTTTTTTTTAACTGAACAACTTTGGCTTCCTGTGATCAATCTTCTTGGCTACAGTAGTAAATATGCTAAACTGCAGGTGCCAGCAAGCTTTGAGACAGTCTGAGGCTTGAATGTTGACCCAGGTTTGTGTTTTGTATGTCATGAAATAGCCTACAATAGTACAACTATTTGGTCTATTCGTTGACTTGGGCTTTTAACTTAATATGTGCTTATTTACTTAGGGAATTAGATCCATTGTGGGAGAGATGCAAAACAGGCAGTGGTTTAGGAGTTTAGTAAATAATCTCAGCTTTGTTCAGTTTTGCTCTGGGTCAGGCTGCTGCATGGAGTAATTCCATATGGCAACCTGATTTGAGCTCACTCAAAGTAAACCTTAAAATGGATTTTGGCAAAATCAAGTCAGCCATCAGGAACCCATTCTCAGTTTCTGCTGAGGATTTCCTGATAGCTTTCTTAATTTAAAAAAAAAAATCAACAAAAAACCGACAGAAAATGAGAAAAACTTCAAAACTTTTTTACTATCTGAAATACTGTTTCCCCTCTTCCTTAAGATTAACAATCAAAAAGACCCCTAGGCTGCTCCAATTTTTACCAAGAGCTATAGAAGTTAGGAGGTGCAAACA